TCACCACGTGTACACCCTCCGTGAGCCGCTCAGGCTCTGCAGGTGGAGGCCAAGGGGCGTAAGGATGACACGAGAGGACGTGTGAAGATACAGGCGTGTGGTCACCAAGCCCTGTCAGGCCACATTCGTCACCGGGACCCCAGTGCACAAGGGCATGTTTTGGCTGGAACTTTTCCAGAAGACTGTGCGCAGCACCACGGGCTCAAACTGTGACCTGGGATGAACTGCCCTGGGCGTGAGGATTTCCGGAAGACAGTCTTGGGGAGGAGGGACATGAAGGCTACTGGTAACCACTGATTCTCCTCAGTGCTGTGTGTATACCTTTACTGCAATGCTAATCAAACCACTGAGTTCTACGTTACCACGTCTCAGTGTCCATATCCCTTCGTTTATGGCATGAATTACCTTTCTTCCTTCTCGCTTCCCCTCATTCCCTCAAGTACGCTACAAAACATTCAAGTGCTTAGAAGTGTTAGTCATGTCTTGGTAAGAAAAACAGGAGTTGCAAATTCCAGTCCCTGGGGAGCCAGCCACGTAGCGCACCCAGGCCCACTCAAAAAGAACAGGAACCCAAGCCTGATGACCCGTGGCTCTGCTCAAGCCTCGGGGTGGGCTGCCCCGGGAGGCGGTGGGCAGTGTGGCAAACTAGAAAGCATAGGCCTTGTTTAAAGTCAGCCACTCGGCTGACCGCTGCCGTCCGAATCCAATGAGTCAGGCCTTCCTGGTTTCCAAAAGAAGCCAGGAATCTGGAATTTTTAGAAAACATTTTCATTAAAAATGCTGATTCACATGAACAAAATGGGCCAATAAGGCCCATTTGTGGGATGTGGTGCAGTCCACGGACTGCACCTGACCTTTGGTTTAGGGACGGAGAAGCGTACGGACAGGCTACAATAGTCTTGCGCTCCATAAAGGATTCCCAACATGGTGGCTCGGAGAGGTAAAAGTGAACCAACTGCAGGCATCTAAGGAGGCTGGAGTGGTCACGTCCAGCGGGCAGACCAGGGGAGGCTCCGGAGGGCCGTGGTGTTTGAACCGAACTCAAGAGTGGGGACAGCCCCCCTTTTGCTCTGGCTGCTCAGGGCGTGCAGAGAAGACCGAACAGCATGAGCACCTCTGAGCTAGAGGCCCCAGCCCGGCTCCCCTCCCTACAGCACCCTTACCGCCACACCGCTACGTGCCTCATAACCCATGAAGCCCGGGCCCCCCTTGCTGGATCGTACCCCCACCAGAACAGGGGTTCTGCCTCCTCTGTCCCCTGCTGTCCTCCAAACCAGAGAGCTGCCTGGCATATAGTGGGTCCTACTGACCACATGCTGGATAAATGAATGTTCATCTCCTGTGCAACTGGGACGTCCGGATCCTGGACAGTCTCCAGTAGCCCTTCGGGGGAGCCGTGGTAAGCCCTCTGCTCCCTTTCGTACGTGGCTAATGCAAACTTCACCTCTGCTCGCACCACTGCTCCTGTCCACCTCTCTGTACTCAAGACTGGTATCCCTAACACTCGGAGAAAAAGAAGCCCAGCACCCTGGGCTACAGACACCCTGTCACCCTCTGGCCACAGACACCCCGGCCTCCTGTACAAATTAAGGGAAGCACTCCTCTTGGCTAGAAGTAGGGATCCCCTCCCTCTGCATAATTCTCCCTCTCTACTGGCTCCTTTCTAGCATTTTAAAAAAAGATTTTATTTGAGAGAGAGAGAGAGAGAGAGAAGCAGCACCCACGGATGGAAGTGGGGGGAGGGCAGAAAGGATCCCAAGGAGACCTCACACTGAGCAGGAAGCCCAATGTGGGGCTCGATCTCGTGACCCTGAGATCATGGCCTGAGCTGAAACCAAGTGTCAGATTCGCAACTGACTGAGCCCCCCAGGTGCCCCTCCAGCAGTCTTTAAACAGGCTCCGAACTCTACTGTCTTAAATGAAGTCTCTACTCCTGATCTTGCCTCTACTCCCCGCTGCTCTCCCACAGCTGCACCTCCAGCCCAAGCTCTGGCTGGGGCTGGCCTCTATTGCCACCTCTGTTTCACCGCCAAGGGACAGGTTGCCCCCTGCTGCGCTCCTGTGGGAGTCAGTGAGTGACCTTCTCAAGGGCCCACTCTCCCCAGTTCTGAACCCTCTCTGCTCACTCTCCTTCTTTGCTTCCACACCCTTTCCAAGCCTTTCTGCTCCCTCTGTAGCAGCTCCATCTCCTCTGTCTGTCTACCTCTGTCTCCAGGGCCTGCCACTGTCCCAATCCAGGGCCACCATCACCATCAAGACACTGGCTGAGCATGGCTGAGCAAAGCCTCCCAGCTTTGCTTCCCACTGACCCATTCTTAATTTTATGGTTGGAATGATTCTACAAGTCAGTCTGAGCAACCGATTTGTTGAAACCCCTCACTGGGGGCGCCTGGGTGGCTCAGGCGGTTCGGTGTCCGACTCTTGGTTTCAGCTCAGGCGGTGATCTCAGGGTCATGGGATCAAGCCCTGTGTCAGGCTCCATGCAGAGTCTGCTTAGACAGTCTTTCCCTCCCCTCTTGCCTCTCTCTCCCCACTGCTTGTGCACGCTCTCTCTCTAAGAAATCAATCTTAAAAAACAAATTTTGTGAACCAAATCACGAAAACTCACCGGCCTCTCTCCTCTGAATACAATCCAGCTCTTTCAAAGGCCTAAAAGGCCTTGCCCAATTTCCAGCTTCTCTCTGCAAGGCCTTCCTGTCACCCTAACACTTACCCCAACCACTTTTCCCTCTGGACTTTTTGTCCAGGTACTTGCCTTTCTGTCCACATGGAGGTTTAAAGAGGGCAGAGCTCCTGTCCTCTACATTATTCTATCCTGAGCCTCTGTGTCCTATTCCTGGCACACAGCAGCGTTCAATGACTTATTTCAAATGAGTGTATGCCTAATAAAAGGATGAAGGTACCAGTTCTAGAAGCGTTAATACAGATGGGTACAAGAGCCCTGTAGCTCCTTACTAAACCTTACTGACTACGGGGCTCTGCTGGGTGATCAGAAATCCTGGGACTGAGGAGGCTGGGAGGTAGGAGCCAGGGGAATGGAAGTAACCAGCCTCAACGGGGCTTCCGACCGAGCTCTGGCGGCGGGGGTGCACCAACCGTTCTTTATTCATACCTGTACGAATGATGTTCAATGGTCAGAATAATGATTTTAACCCACATCTCAGCCCATGACAGAGGCAACGAGCACTCAGCATCCGCTCTACGGCCTTCCAAGAGCCTTCCCGTATTACCGAGGCCCATAGCTAAAACACGTCGCTTGCCAGACTCCCTTGTAGGTCGGATTTTGGATGCAAATTCAGTTCCATACATGAGGTGACTGAGTGAGTGACCCTGCAGAAAGGACTCTATCCTTAGTCCTGTCTTTACAGCATGTTTATAAAAATTTAGGGATGGTAGGAAAACCAAAGGAATAGCTTATACGCTGATTACAGATCAGGGTACAGATTTCAACAGGCTGGGGGACTAGAATGCAAAACTTTGCCAGGGCCCAAGTTCTACACTTGGGACACCAAGTGACCAAGTGCACACGAATAGTCCTGAGCGAGGAAGGGCTTCATAGTTGTCTTAACGAAAAGAAAAACTTCAGATTCTAGACTGAGTTTAGGACAAATAGTGAGATATGGCTCAGAAGGGCTAGGGGAAACTCAGAATTCATTGCCAGGAGTAGGAGTTTTAGGAGAGAAGGAACTTACAGCCTCGACTACTTCTGCACTTGTTAAAACCATACTCGTAAACCAGTGATGTCCGTTCTGGGCACAAAGACCCTCATAAGCCACGGCTCTTCCAGAGGACAACAAGAAGGACTTAAAACCAGGACAATGAGGAACAGTGGCAAGGAGCCAGGAGTATTTTCTGGAGAGTGGGACAGGACGACTACGTGCCACTGTCCGAAATTCTGCAATACGGGACAAGCAGCTTAGCCTTGCTTCATAGGGTCCCAGAGGACAACACTACACAAGCAACTACAGACACCGGAAGGAGGCTGATGGTCAGTCTAAAAAGACACGACAGCCGGAGCGCCTGGGAAAGAAGGGCGCTGGGCAGGAGGCGGCCTCCCTGGCACTGCGGTGGGCCTTGACGCAGCAGCCTCTAGCTGTGTGGGGAAAAGGAGACGGGGGAGGAAGGCCTAAGTGTGAGGCCCTCGCTTGGACTGGATTCTCCTTCTGGTCCTTCTGCACCCGGTGCCCCGTGATTCGGTGAGCCCGCTTCTCGCCCAGAGCACAGCGAGACCGCCGTGTCAGGAGCCGATTCCCAGGCAGAAAGTGGGGCTGCTGTCAGCTCCTGCTGCACAGCCCAGCTGGGGAGCGCTGCACGTGTATTTTGTCACCACTCATGAGCCCCACGGGAAGATTCTGGTCTGGTCTGGGAAGACTCTTCCGCCACAGCGTCCAGCAGAGGGCCTTGCACAAAGTGGGAACTCAAGACCCAAGTTTTAGTCTAATTTTAGGATTTTTCTTCCAGCTGGACTCACAGCACGACTCATATTGTGTAATGCCACTCTCACTACACGAACGGTTCCATTTCAGCACCAACCACATGTCAGGAAGGCCCAGGGAGCTCTGAAGCCACCCGCACACGGGCCGCCCCAGGCCAGTGACACCAGAAGTCCTGGCGATCGGCTCCCCAGCCCCTAAGCTCCCTAGCACTTCTCACCGAGCCAGGCGTGAGGACCACTGGCTCAGCCCAGAAGGAAACAAAGACTTTTGTTAAGGAAACACCGGCTAACAAATGCTCGCCAATCTTTCCTGAAGAGGATCCATCTCTTCTCTACCCTCCTCAACGCTGGAAGTACCAAACATCCTTCCCTTCTGGGTAGAAAGCTATCAGAGAATCCTCCTGTCTTTACTCTCTTGGGGTAACATTTGAACACAGCACCACAAGGTGAAGGGCACAGAAATTAATGTCTTTCGCTGTATGAAAACCCCACTGAAGTGTGTGTATGTATGTAATGAGAGCAAACGATCTTTTTAACCCCGTAAGTTCCCTAAGCGTCCCCGTACCTGGGCCGAGCAGCGGCGACCGACTGAGCTGGGCGCCGGCCGGGTGTGGCGGCGGCGGCGTCTCGGCCGCGTCCGCGCTGCTGCTCGCGGTGGCGGTGGCGGTGGCTGCGGCGGCGGCCGTGGCACTGCTCTGCAGGCCTGGGTTGTTTCTATCCCACATGTTTACAGTTTTGTTGTTGTAGTTGCTCGGGTCACCCCAAGCTGAGGTACCGTCATCAATTTCCATTTTGCGTCGAATGGATGGCGGAGAAGGTTCCTCCCAGCCCGTGGCCTCACTGCCGTCCTTCTGTGTGACAGGGACCGGCCCCCCGATCCACCCGGTTCCAGTCTGTTTCACGGAAGCGGCTCCTCCCCAGTTACTCACATTGTTGTCTTGGGGTTTGCCCGCCCAGTTCTGCTGCGGGCCAGGTTTTAAAGACTCTCCCCAGTTTGTCCCTGGGTTCCCCTTTGTGTTTGTGCCATTACCCCAGCCACTGGGCCCAGACCTGGGAGCATCGTTCCAGCCAGACCCTGACCGGTTGCTGTCAGCATCCCAGCCAGAGCCATTTTTCTTCCCATCCCCCAAGTGTCCGAGGACAGAAGACGAATCGGCCCAGTCTCCCCCTCCCGCACTCCAGGCCGGATTAGACTTTTGTCCATCTCCCCAGTTCTGAGATTTGGGTTTCTGAGGCTCCCCCCAGGTGGGCGCCTTGTCCTCCTGATTTGCGGTCCCGCTCCAAGCATGGCCACCCTTGGCGGCGGCAGCAGCATTACTGACGGCAGCAGAGCTTATCGAGTCCCCCCAAACCCCTGGGCCACTCGGCGCTTTGCTGCTGCCGTCTCCCCAGCCTGTGCTTGCCGGCCCAGCAGCCGGCGGCGCGCTGGCCCACCCGGACACTGAAGAGGTATTTGTACTGTTCACGATGGACCCGTCACTCTTCCCCCCTGAGTTTGAAGGCTGAGTAGCGGCACAGCCCCAGGCCTCTGTCCCATTGTCATTTTTTCTCTCAGACCTAGGGGACTCTTCAAATTCCCAGGCAGTGTTTTGCTTTACTGGAGTCTGTCCCCAACCAGTATTAGACAGAACTCTTGGGTCAAGATCGTTCCTTGGCAATTGGATGTGCCCTTGGTCTATCATCCCTTTATCTCGCCTTCGGCCTTCTGCTCCTTCCCTCCCAGAGCTTCCTTCATTGTGACTGCCAGAGCCGTCGCTACTTCCTTCACTGGCTGTCGTTACAGAAGACGCAGCTTTGGCCCAAGAGTTCATGTGCTCACCGCCAGGCTGCATGGCAGGATTCTGGCTGCTAACACTCGGACTGTCCCACCCTGCTGACCCTTTCCCGTTGACGTCGCCGTTGGAATGCTGGTTTGGGGGCTTGCCCCATTCCCCATTCACACCGTTAGAGGTGCTCCGGCTGGGGTGGCCCCAAGCCCCCGAATGGATATGACTAACGCCGCTGTTGTTGCCACTGCCCCGTCCCCAGGCGAGGAGCCCAGGACCGGCAGGAGGGCCGGAGTCCCAGGCGCTTCCTCCGCTTCCTTCCTTCTGCACAGCACTGCTGGATCCATTTTGTTTAGCATTCAATGCTGAGTTCACAGTGTCTCCATTCCCCTGACCGAACCCAGAATTGCTACTTCCTGGGGCAGGGTTACCTGGGGACAGTCCCCACACCGAACTGCTGATTCCTTCACCACTGCTCCCACTGCCTTGAGAAACTGATGGTCCGTTAGCACCCGGAAGGCCGTGCAGGTGGGGCGGGACGATGGCCCCCACACCAACAGCCATGCCCCAGTTTGGCAGTCCGTTTGTCTGCATTGCATTGACAGGGTTTGGTGAAGAGTTCATGGGGTTAGTGTTATTTGGTCCATCAGGGTTAAGGTTCTGAGGTTGTACGCTGAAAGACACATTCTGAGAAGTGGACGTTTGTGGTTCTGTGCTCTCTGGCGGCAGCAAGTTTCCCCAAGCACCTAAAGTGCCTGTTGGGTTCCCGTTCTGGTTGCCCGTATTTTGACCTATGGCACTGACCGGACTGCAAATACTGGAAGGGTTGCCTGTCGCCACAGTTCCTTCATGTCCAAGTACAGGCCAGGCAGCTGGGTTGGCATTAGGGTTAAGGTTAAGATTAATGCCTGCGTTGGAGTTGGAAGCACCCCAGCAATTCTGACTTCTCCCATCTCCGATCATGTTGTCCATTTTTCCATCCCCACCGCTGAGAGAGCAGTGAGCTGGGCCGGAGCTGGAGCCTGTGGCTACGCCCCACACTCTGGCTCCATTTCCATTACCGTTGGCGCCCCCTGCTCCAAGGGCACTCTGATTAGAAGGGCTTTGGACGAGTGCACCGTTGGTGCCATTATTGCCATTTGTCTTCTTGGTATGTCCAGTGAAGGTGCCCTGGGCACTCCCCGTAGCCATGCTACTGTTCTCTGAGCCACAGTTGGAGGCAGAGTCAGTGTCTGTAGTACATTCTGAGGCAGATTCAGTCTCTGCTCCTGTGATGGAAGGCCACGCCTCCTTGTCAGTCCTGTCTATTATCACTTTATCCCAGCTGCTGCTGGCTTCACCTCTGTACGTGGGCTGCTGTCCCCAGTGGGAACTTTCATAGTGATCTGCCAATCCGCCGTGACTGAGATCTGAAAAACACGAAACACATTCAGAATTAGATCTTTCTCCCACTTGTCAATGAATCCACTGTGAATTAGTCTTTGTGGGAAGTTCCTTATTTCCAGGTTCAATGCTGAATGACAAATGTGAAAAAATGACTTGGGAAAAAAGTTATCTGCCTTCATAGTAAGTTCCGTTTAAAAAAGAGCTTGTGTTTCTAAAACGGTATTCATCCTTACCACTACCCCATACCATCATCCCCTCTGAGGAGACTCATGGTGCACGTGAGCACGTGAGCGTCCCTGAAAGCCATCTGCAGGAGAGGAAGCCGTGTGGCAGGATCGCCAGGTAGGACACTGATGTGGCCGAGCCACACCTGAACACACCCGGACTGCGGGGACACCACGTGCACTGGGCTTCTTAAATACAGTCCGTAGTTCTCTTCCAGAACTCCAACTGGAGCTACAGCACAGTACAGAGGCTACACAGCTCACTCAGTAGAAAACAACGGTAAACACAGTGCAGAACCATGTAACAGAAGCAGTATTTTGGGGATGAGGGCCAGAGGGAGAGAAGAAGCATTAGAAAATGCTATCTTACGTTATCGCGAGTACGGAGGGTTAAAACAGTTCATTACATTTCTATTACTTCTCTGTCATCATCACCAGCAATCACGGTTTGCCATTATTAAACACAAATAAGAACTCTCTGAGGACCTTCTCCCCTTGCTCTCCATCTCCTCGATCCACAGTCTTTGCACTGGAGACCCCAGAATGATGGGATGCGCTATCTTCCGTTCTAGCATTCATTTCATTTCACCCTTATGATCCTTTTAAAGAATCCGGTATTTGCCATCTGCATTTTATTTCCTAGGATTTCTAGTTATTTGACTATTTCTAACACTGCAATCCAACTTATAGTCCAATGAGTTTCCAGCAGACTCTATCTAAAGTATGGATCCAAACTAAATACAACATTAAAAAATTGATTTAACCTACGCATACAACAAATTCACACAGCTTAGAAATCCTTGATGGTTTCTTCAAACAGTGCGATGTACAGATAACTGCAATAAAATATTTCTTCTCTTTTAGAACCTTTTCTTCATTATGTTTTCCTCACATTTTTAATAAGAAAAATTTTACTCCTGGGAAGTAAAACTGGGTTTCCAACAGAAAACCTCTTTTAAAGTTTACTGCAGCTAAAAGAGAAACAGCAGAAGTGTGTAAAGAATGATCACTATTGCTACAAAGAACATCCTAGCGACAACTTCAACCTTAAAAAAAAATGGTTTTGGGCGCCTGGGTGGCTCAGTGGGTTAAGCCGCTGCCTTCAGCTCAGGTCATGATCTCAGGGTCCTGGGATCGAGTCCTGCATCGGGTTCTCTGCTCGGCAGGGATCCTGCTTCCCTCTCTCTCTCTCTGCCTGCCTCTCCATCTACTTGTGATCTCTGTCTGTCAAATAAATAAATAAAAATCTTTTTAAAAAAATGGTTTTGTTGTTTGATTTAAAAGGGATGTAATGAATTCAGAATTTTGCTCTAGGTGTGCAGCAAAGGAAACCACCAATAAGACAAAAAGGCAAGCTACCGAATGAGAGAAAGTATTTGCAAATGACATAGCTGACAAGGGGTTAATATTCAAAATATATGCAGAACCAGTACAACTCAACACCAAGAAACCCAAATAATCTGATTAAAAATGTGCAGAGGAGGGGTGCCTGGGTGGCTCAGCCAATTAAGCATCAACTCTTGTTTTCAGCTCAGGTCATGATCTCACTAGTTTTGCATGTGCTACTAAAACTAGCTTTTGTAATAATAAATTCAAAGAGGTAAATGTGCCACTCACCATTTAAGGCAGAAAATAAGACCAAGTTAAAAAACCAGAGATTATGGATTATTACCAGCAAATCTCCCAGAGTTCATTCTCCCAACAGTCTTGCTTCCCTTGGGGACAGGACACACCAGGCCTAGGACAGTACTCACTGCAACCCACACTGAGACAGCAGGAGGTCACTAACCTGGCTTACCAATGCATTCCTGGTGTACCTTTCGAATACGTATCATTATTTTTTCTCTTCCACAACAGGTCACAATGCAAAAGAATCAGCTCTCTTAATGGTCTAGGGTGTCTGTGTGGAATGCCTTTGTCTGCTGCTCGGCCCGCAATCTGCTGGACTCATACTCAGTTATGCATCAGGTTTGAAATACATATTTGCGTGCTTGGATACGAAGGACAGCATCACAAGCCAGTGGAGAAAGGAAGGACCAGCTAATAAATGCTGTTGGGACATGTGGCTAGCCATATGGAAAAAATAAGATCCCTGCCTCCAATCATATAGAAAAATCAGCTCTAGATGGATTAAAGACCTAGTTACAAAAGCAAGACTTCCTTAAGCTCAATAAGGAAATACAGGAGGCCATCTCTACCACGTGGGACACTTATCTTCCTAAGGAGTTGATAAATTTGACCCTGTTCATCTAAAAACAACCATATGACAGCAGATATCATATAAAGGAAGCTTAAACAAACAAACAAACAAACAAAAAAACAAAAACAAGCCACAGACAGGAAGAAGAGAGAACAGAATAAAGAATGAAGAATCCCTACAATTCAGGGCACTTGGGTGGCTCAGTGGGTTAAAGCCTCCGCCTTCGGCTCAGGTCATGATCCCAGGGTCCTGGGATGGAGCCCCACATCAGGCTCTCTGCTTCTTGGAGAGCCTGCTTCCTCCTCTCTCTCTCTGCCTGCCTCTCTGCCTGCTTGTGATCTCTGTCAAATAAATAAATAAAATCTTAAAAAAAAAAAAGAATCCCTACAATTCAGTAAGAACAAGACCAAAACCCAACAAAGGCAGGAAAACAACAGAAAAAGGCAATCCAGAGAAGAGGCCCTTGACGGCCGCTAACACATGAAATAATAACCGATCTCATCAGTAATTGGGAAATGCACTTGAACACCGCGAGACGTCACTCACACTGAAACACGAGGCCTGGGATTCCTTTCAGGGGAGACGAAAATGTGAGTGAGGAACATCTGTATCATTTCTAAGAGAGCTGAAGCAAACTCCACAAAAGACTGTTACACGTGTACCGTGGATTCAGTTACATTAGTTTTCGCATACTTTCTTCTATTTTAAAAATGTATCCAAAAATTGAAAAAAGTTAAATGCTTCATTGTGGTATCAAAGGAAGTGATATAAATGGAATCCCAAAAGGGACCCAAGCAAAGCACCAGTGCTCCTCGCCACAGGGATGTATGGAAGAGAAGCGGTCAAACCTGCACGGTCAGAAATGCGTGCGAACTTCACGCGTGCAAGGAGACGCGGTGGGAGGAAAGCCCAGTCTGGCCACCGGGTGCAGTGGGATTCTGAAGGGAGCCCTGGAGCACAGCTCTGCGGCCATCGTGTCCGCTGCACGGCAGCCAGCCAGCATGGGCTTCCCGGACCAACCAAAGAATGTACGCGTATGGAACCCAAGCTGAGTGCCAGCTAAAGGCGCTCGCTATCCGAACAAGGCCTCGTCCCTTCTCCGCTCCACAGAGATGGGGACGGACTACATAAGCCCTAAGGTTTCAGCTGTAGACCAGATGATGTCTAGAGCGGCCGTACCCTCCATGGAGACAGGAGACTCACACACGAAAGTACCAAGCCACAAAGCTGGCATGTTCAGTCTCAACCTCAGTATCAGAGCAAAGATTTCTTTTTATTTTGGTAAAATACACATTTCCCATCTTAGCCCTTTGTGATACACAATTCAGTGGGTTTAAGTACATTCACACTGTACAAGCATCAGCGCTATATCCATCACCCCAACCTGAAGGCGTAACCTATCACACAAGATGTCCTCTCGCCTCTTGTCCCTCCCCCAGGCTCTGGTGACACTGTGACCCTGACTATTCCACATACTTCTTATAAACAGAAACGTCCAGTATTTGTCCTTTTCCGTCTGGCTTACTTCTCTCAGCATCATGTTCTCAAGGTCCATCCACATTGCAGCAGGTGTCAGAACTCCCTTCCTCCCTTTTCAGGATGAGCAACATTCTACTGCATGAATACACCGCGCCGTTTTCACCCGCCCCTCCTCCATGGACACCGCGGGCGGCTTCCATCTTTCGGCTATTGTGAATGACGCTGCCATAGACAGCCGTATACAAGCATCCGTTCCAGTCTCTGCTTGCAGTTCTTCTGGGTGCATCCCCAGAAGTGGCACAGCTGGATCATACGGTAAATCTAGGTTTAATCTTTTGAGCAACTGCCATACTGTTTCCCACCATAGCTGCGGCTCGGTAAGGATTCCTACCAGCAGGACACAAGGGCTCCATTTGCTCCACAACCCCCTTTTGTTCTTTTTAAAGATTTTATTTATTTATTTGACAGAGAGCGAGATATCACAAGTAGGCAGAGCAGCAGGCAGAGGGAGGGGGCAAGCAGGCTCCCCGCCGCCGTTGCTCCACACCCTCCACCAGACTTGTTACCTTCTGTGGGAACAGCAGCCACCCGAACGGCTGGGAAGCGGCATCGCGCTGAGACTTGGATTTGCATCTGCTTAATAATTAGTAATGTTGAGCTTCTTTCCACATGTAAAGCAAAGATACTTTAATAATCAAACTGTTTAATTTATTCTGTTGAAATGAACAGAGTCAAATATAAAGAACTACACTGTCTGGAAATAAACAACCAAAAAAACGCAGTGAGTTTTCAATAAATATTGTAGAACATTTCTAACATATGCCATCCTGCTACTCAGATGATTTTGTTTTGGACTTTTCTATAAATATTTATAATCAAAATCTGAAACTGTAAATAAGAAATAGGAATACAAATGGCCAAAACATTTAATTTTTTTCAAAACTTAAAAAAAAAAAAAAGATTTATTTATTTATTTATTGGGAGGGAGGGGCAGATGGAGAGAAAGAAAATCTCAAGCAGATTCCCCATGGAGCACAAAGCCTGATGCTCAGGGCTCAATCCCAGGACCCTGAGATCATAACCTGAGCCCAAACCAAGAGTTGGACACTTAACTTACTGA